ATATATATATATATAATATTCTAAGTCATGACCCAATTATTACAATGTCCCAATATCTTGGTGGCTATTTTCAAAGTTGATGAATTTATATCATTTTATGGGGCAGATGAAACTAAGAAAGGCCTTTAGTGTGCTCTCTAGTTCTTGGTTGGTGGCAAGAAGAATCTATTCTTTTTTTTTGTTTTTCTTTACTTAATTTCATTTTTTTTTATCATTATGTCCAAAGAAACTTTATCTTTCATTTTTTCCTTTCTTGATAGAATTTTAGCTTTTGATTTGATATATACAACATAAATGATAAATTTACTAGTAATAAGCATAAAGGTGACCAATTAAAGGGTCATCTGTCACACTTTCATTAAATTAAAAAAAAAAGAAAGAAAAAATAAATTACAAAATCAAGTGTTTAATCACTACATATACCTTATGATAGGAACTGAACTCCTGCATTCTTGGTGTCCAAATTTGCTTTTGTTTGCAGGAAAAATAAAAAAAAAATTGAAAAAAAAAAGAAGGAAAATAAAAAAGATGGTTTCAAGTTCTCCTCCACAGCCAAAAGTAAGTTAAAGTTTTTATATGAAACCATTCTCTAATGCAGAGTACTATATTTTTTCTTTCATTTTCCCTTTTCCATTTTTCATAATCTTGTTGAGTAATTGCTATTTTTTTTTTCTTGTAATGTATGTTTCTATAGGAAATTCCATCAGACGAAAAATGTGCCGAGAACGGTCCTCGTCGCAAGGCCAAATGGTGGTACTCGACTTTTCACACGGTCACGGCCATGGTCGGAGCCGGTGTACTCAGCTTGCCTTATGCCATGGCTTACTTAGGATGGTATTTACCTTCTCTACCTAGTTTTTTGTCCTTTTAAGATAGAAAGAAAAACTGCCCCTAATATTACGACTTTTTTGAAACTGTAATATAATCACGACATTTTCACTTTTGCAAATAATATCACAATCTCCAATTCGGTGTATGGATTCTGAAAACCATCCATACAAAAGTTGATTTGGCCGAAGAACAAACTTCAAGTTTGTGATATAGTTTGTTACAAATCGGTGTACGAATTCTGAAAACCAGCCATAGAAAAGCTTATGTGGCCGAAGAACATGATATAGCTGGCACGGGTTATGCAAATCGGTGTACCCATTTGCAACAAATTAAAGATTTTAATATAATTTGCAAAAGTGGAAATGTTGTTATTAAATTGCAATTTCGAGAAATGTCCTGACTAAATCTATTGACAATAGAATGATCATGTGTGAGTAGACCAATATATATTTTTCTCTGTTTTGAAATCAATGTGGAAATTGTTATCAAAATAAAAAATAAAAAAATAAAAATAATTCAGGGGACCGGGAATGGTTGTGATGGTATTGTCATGGTGCATCACGTTGAACACCATGTGGCAGATGACCCAACTGCACGAGTGTGTCCCGGGTGTGCGGTTTGATAGGTACATCGACTTGGGCCGGCACGCATTTGGGCGGGGGCTAGGGGCATGGATCGTGCTCCCCCAGCAGCTCATTGTGCAAGTGGGTTGTGATATCGTGTACATGGTGACCGGAGGTAAGTGTCTCATGAAGTTCATGGAGATTGCGTGCTCCAACTGCAAGCCCATTAGGCAGTCTTACTGGATTTGCATATTTGGTGGGCTTCACTTTTTTCTGTCCCAGCTGCCGGACTTCAATTCCGTGTCCGGTGTCTCGTTGGCGGCTGCGGTTATGTCGCTTTGGTAAATTGGTCGTTTTTTTTTTTCACGTTTCACCATAACCATTAGACAGCCTAACAGAAGATTGATTGTTACATTAATTAGAAATTTAGAATCATTTTTTTTTTTTTTTGTGTTTTTAAATATTGTAGCTACTCAACGATAGCCTGGGTGGGAAGCCTAAGTAAAGGCCGGTCTCCGAACGTGAGCTACGCGTACAAGCAAACCAGCCGGCTCGATTCCATGTTCCGAATTTTCAATGCTTTGGGCGAAGTCACTTTTGCCTACGCAGGCCACGCGGTGGCCCTCGAGATCCAGGCGACCATACCCTCGACTCCCGAGAAGCCTTCTAAAGTTCCCATGTGGAAAGGGGCCGTCTTGGCCTATATTATCAACGCCATTTGCTATTTTCCGGTGGCCATTATTGGGTATTGGGCCTTCGGGCGAGATGTGGCCGACAATGTGCTAGTCGCGCTCGAGAGGCCTGCTTGGCTGATTGCCACCGCCAACTTGATGGTGGTTGTGCACGTGATCGGGAGCTATCAGGTAACTTTTATTAACCGAATTTTAGTGAAATCGAAAATTTTGATTTTTCGATTTACAGTTTTATACATAGTGTTTGATAGATTAAAAGGAATCGTACTGCAGGTTTATGCAATGCCGGTTTTCGACATACTTGAGAGAAGCATAGTGAAGAGAACGAGCATTTCGAATGGACCCGTGCTTAGGCTTATCGTTCGTTCCGGTTATGTTGGTAAGTTTTATTTTTATTTTATTTTTATTTTTGATACAAATTACTTACTTAATTGTTCTTGCAGCCTTCACACTGTTTGTTGGTGTGACTTTCCCTTTCTTTGGTGATCTTCTTGGTTTCTTTGGTGGTTTTGGCTTTGCTCCAACTTCCTATTTTGTAAGATGTTTTCCATCACTTTTTTTTTTTATA